AATTTGAAGGGCAGCTGCATTTCAACTTGTGCAATGAAAATTGTTATGTACTGAGTTGAATAGGATTCAGAATGCAGCAGTCTGATTGGTCCTAGAACAATAGGATTCAGAATGCAGCAGTCTGATTGGTCCTAGAACAATAGGATCCAGAATGCAGCAGTCTGATTGGTCCGCAGGAGCCACCCAATCCAACTCCGGGTGGAAGTGAATCCGCAACCTGATTGGCCTACAGGAGAATCCCAGAATTAGCCAATCACATGCAGCCCATTGTGTAAATAATGAGTATAAAGCAGATACTTTGGGGAAACTTTCATTCCTCCTCACCACTATGAGCTGAATAAAGAGCATGAAATCCACACTCGACTCCGAGTATATTTCAAAAATGCAAACCTTGCTGAATTACGGTACTTCCCCCTCGCAATCTGCAATTTATCCAAAGAAGCGTTCCATCATTTCCTAATTTGTGTCCTAGCAATGTCAGGGTGTGGGTTTTTTGAGGGGGCGTGGTTTGCAGGGGAGTTTTCCCTTCCATTTTTCTCAGTCATTCCTATTCCTTCTATGAATGCCTTGTACACAACGCATCTTCAGGGAAATGTTCGCAGCCTGACATTCAGAATCATAGCAGGAAGCAAAAGAAGTAACATTAAGAAAGGAAAAAGGAAAAAGCAGAACCATAGCTGCCCTGGGAAGTGTGTCCTCATAGCACCAAGTACATCACAGAGTGATTACAATGTGAAAGGGCACTTCCATTTTGGTTGCACTGTAAAAAGAGGTGTGCCCCCCACATCTGAGAGCTGAGAGACTAAAAGAAACCATAAGTGGGTATGATCAAGCCTATATAAAGGTAAGGTAAAAGACTCCTGGACAGTTAAGTCCAGTCAAAGGTGATTATGGGGTTGTGGTGTTCATCTTGCTTTCAGGCCGAGGGAGCTGGCGTTTGTCCACAGACAGCTTGCTGGGTCATGTGGCCAGCATGACTAAACCGCTTCTGGTGCAACAGGACACTGTGACAGAAGCCAGAGTGCATGGAAACCCCATTTACCTTCCCACAACAGTGGTACCTATTTATTTACTTGCACTGGTATGCTTTGGAACTGCTAGGTTGGCAGAAGCTGGGACAGAGCTCACCCTGTCGTGTGGATTCGAACTGCTGACCTTCTGATCAGCAAGCCCAAGAGGCTCAGTGGTTTAGACCACAGTGCTACCTGCGTCCCTCAAGCCTATGTATGTTTTCAAACCTATGTGTAGCCCTTCTGGCCATGCTTCCCATTCAGGTGCTAAACACTTTCCTTCATCCTGTGCACAAACCCTGCTTCAGCATCATTCTGCCCCATTCATGCAATGGAAGCGGGTATAGTCTTGCTCCAGGGGCATAGCTCTGCTTCTGCTGGTTGCTTTCTTGTCTACTCTTTCTTTTAATGAAGAATATATGTATTTGAGTTGCAAAGGGAAAGTGCATGGCTTTCACAAACAAGTTTCACATGTTCAGCCTTTGTAGAGGGCAAAGGGGGAGGCTTTACTTACTAAGTTAATTACATATTGATTTTCTCACTGCTACACAAATGCAACCAGGGATGCGGGTGGCGCTGTGGGTTAAACTACAGAGTCTAGGACTTGCAGATCAGAAGGTCGGCAGTTCGAATCCCTGTGACGGGGTGAGCTCCCTTGGCCAATAAAGCGAGATGAGCGCCGCAACCCCAGAGTCCTAATGGTCAGGGGTCCCTTTACCTTTTTACACAAATGCAACAGTCAAGGGGCATTTATCACTAATGTCACATAGGAAGCAATAGGATGGGATTCTTAAACAGGAAACATTTAATTAAATGCACAGGGCCCCCTCAAAATCACAATAGTGCTTTGCCTGTCCCAGGTAACTGCAATTATATTTCATTGCAATTTCTAAAAATAAAATAAAAATTCACCACAAGATGGTAACAAAGAAAGTAGTGGTCTGCAATGATATGACAAGCACCTTGCCTGAATTCTCCAGGAAATTCTCCATGGAAAAAGGGCTTTGCCTTTGGAGGTGAAGTCAAACTGTTGGAAGGTTACAGCGCCTGCCGTGGCTGTATAGACTGATATGGGAGAGATATGTTCTGTTGCAGCTGGGGCAGATGAAGGCGTCCGGTTGTGCTGCTGCAGATGCACCATGACATTTTGTCTCCCTGTGCTTCTGCCAGTGGTCATTCCTCCTCTGTTCACTGCTATGGATACACAACCTGACTGTCTCCAGATCCCCATTGCTTCTTGAATGGATGTACACACTGTCTTCGGCAGAAGGCCTAAGAAAGCCACAGGGTGAAGAATATGCTAAAGAAAATTGAGGCAAGAATACAGCCCTGTTTCACACTGCTCTTTATAGGGAAGGCATCTGAGGATGAGCCGCCCTATTGGACGGTGCCACGCATGTTCTTGTGGAAGGACACAATAATCTTGTGAAGCTTGTTGAGCAGTGAGAAGAGTCCTTTTCGGCCAATGAGGTCAAAGGTATTTGTCAGGTCTATGAGTGCAATGGGGAAATTAGGCAAGTACTTAATTCATCAAAGGCATTTCAAAGTGCTTAATTTTATCTGGACTGGTCCTATTTAAAAAAATGGAGTAGCACTGTTGTTGGAGGAAAGTTGTTTTGTTTTGTTTGTTTGCAGGAAGTTGTATTGCTCATTGTCAAGTGATCGCAGAGCACTTACTGATGAGACAGGGGTGACATTTGCAAAACCACAATAGACAGGCTAGTTGGGGATGGTAAAATAACATTTTTTCTATTTTTTTTAGATTTAAATTTCCCCAGTAGCAGCACGTTGTGCTTTGAATTCCAGGAAAATACAATGTTCTTATAATGGAAATGCAACCTGGAGGAAAGATACCTGAATTCTTCTTTGGATATAACAAATAAGCAACTATTGAGCATTTATTGTGCTAAAATGATGGTGTGGAAAAGTGCTGAGATGGTAGAGGAAACGAGGGAGAGGCTCCAATTTCTTTGAGGGAGGAAGTCCCCACCCGCCTTCTTGTGAACAAGCAAAGAGGCAGGAGAATGCAGCTAAAGCAAACAACTAAACAGGGTCCTATGTTGTACATGCTGACAAGAGGCTAGGCACTGGGATGAAAATGTTTCATCCCAAGTATCCAATATCTGTCCCAATGGACATCTAGTAGGAGGAAGGAGGAAACATGAGGTTAAGAATTCAGAAAGATTGGACAGAGAGTCAAAGAGCCCGGCTAGATTAGATAGGCTGCAATTCGTTTACCAAGAGCAAGTCCCTGGGGAGTTTCACAATCACAAACATCCTACAAGCATTAGAGAGTTTCAGCCATTTAGAAGCCAGTGATAATTGGTAGAACCATGTGTTATTTTATACGCATTTATATTGATAGCAAACCAACCATTAGAATGCCTGTGTTTGGGCAAGACTTTGGTTCCTAGACTTTTGTACAGTACCTATAGCCTTTTAGACTTTGGTACCACGTTGCTGCTGCTGCTTCATCATTAACGTCAGTATTCAGATCCTTCCTGGATATTAAAACTGTCCTCACAAATGAACAATCTGAAACAGAGGTGAAGATAGGAGGCGATGAATATAAATACCATATTTTTTTTTCTCTATAAGACTCACTGTTTCCCTCCTAAAAAGTAAGGGGAAATGTGTGTGCGTCTTATGGAGCGAATGCAGGCTGTGCTTTCACTGCGCAGCGATCCTTCTTGCTGTTCTGGCTTCTGAGATTCAGAATATTTTTTTTTCTTGTTTTCCTCCTCCAAAAACTAGGTGCGTCTTGTGGTCTGGTGCGTCTTATAGAGCGAAAAATATGGTGCTTTTAAACATTTCCCCCCAATTCATTATGGATCATCTCCCAATACTCTTTCACTCTTTCAAGTCCACCACATATAAAATGTTCCCAAGTTCTGACTCTGTCTCCTCTAGTCTCTCAGCCATGCACCTTCTGACCAGTCAAGTTTCTTAAAGTCAGGTCTTTTGTCCTCATCTGCAATCACCATCTGGATAAAGCTACCAATGTCTGCAATTGCTCATACTTACAATTTGCATTGCGGGGTGAGGGAGGGATTCCTTTGCAACAAAATGGCATTGACCATACTTTCCTGCCCTGAGCACCATGGCCCTGCAGCTGGTTTTTGTTTTATTGTTTTAAAGAAAACACCCAGAAATTTTAGCACAGATCTTCTGAGTGTTGTCTCCTTCAGCCCAACTGCACCTGGCTGCTTTCCTGCAGAGGAATTTAAACCCGCTTCAGAGCACAGACATGACCAGGATTCAACACAACTGTTCAACATATAGAGTTATGTGCAATTAGACAAAAGAACTGCACACTTGAAGGCATGTTCAAAGATCTGTGAGATTATAATCTTGGACATGTCTTCTTTAAGTAAATTGAAAAGCCCCTTTAAACCTTGTGTCCTTAATTTTTCTTCTTCTTCCTGCATCAGCTGTTGAGTTGTCACATAGCTTTGTTCATAGAACCATGTCTGTTCAAGTTCTTCATGTAAAAAATACAAGATGTGAAACCTAGCACAAATATATACATGTAAAAGGCACATTAAGTAATCAGTGAAAAATGCAACTCTGCCCATGTATTCTTTCAAAAGAGATATAAATATTTACAAATGACAGAGTTAAATCCAACTTGTGGAAATGACATGTACGCAAGAACTGGAAGAGGAATTGCTGAATTCCAGACAGCATGAGAATGACATATCAGATTTTTTTCTGATGGAATACTTACACAGTTTTAAAACTGTAGGGCAGGGGCAGCAGAAGACAGATGAAATCTGGTTGATTGTAGACTAGCAAGAAGTTCTTGCTCTTAATGGCTTAACAACAATGACCAAAAGCCCTCCTTTTCTTTACAGATTAAGACACTGATATCAAGGATGCTTGAAAAAGCAAGAGTAGATTTTCCTTTTAAAGGAGTTTTGTGGGAAGTCCAGTTCTGGTACTGAAAACAAATTCCTAGGCTCAACATATGCTCAAACCACCTCCTTCTATGGGCTTCAGCTCAGGGGGCAGAACATCGGCCTTGCATGCAGCATGTCCCAGGTTCAATCCCTGCCTTCTCCAGGTAAGGCTAGGATAGACCCATGCTTGAAACCCTGGAGAGTCACTGCCAGTCAGTGTAGACAATACTGAACTAGATAGGCCAGTTCAGTACAAGGCAGCTTCCTTTCTTCTATGTCTGCTTTCCCAAGACCCTATTTTGTACCTGGCTCCGGTGGGTGGACCTCTGGGTCCTAGTGGAAAACAAAGTAGAACCTGCAGCTCAAAAGACTGCAAGTGCCTGCAGTAGGAAGCCTAAATTATAATTTGCACAGTGGTTTTATATTAATGCTTTACGTGCAGGAGAAATTCTTCCTGGAAGTATAACGGTACTGCCTTTAAGGGCCCATCTGCAGCACAGGCAATAAAACTCAGCTATTAATTAATTATTAAGAGCTCAGGCAACCCAAAATTTTGGCTGTATTGTTAGTGCATGATTCACAGTTCATGATCCTTCGTTTCTACGTTCCAAATAACTCAGTTGCTGCTCCTCCTTTCCAGCTTCTCTTCTTCCTGCACTCACATACTCCTGCGCCAAGAATAAAAAAAGGTCATTCTTCACTTAAGGGTGGAACACGGCCAGTCCATAGTCAGCAGCACTGAGCAACCGCCAAGCCATTCTCTCTCTCTGCTGTTTTCAATGGACCTGCGATGAGGCCGGACTAGTGTAGCTGGGCCAGGATTGGAGTTATATGCTCAAACCATCTTGCCCCGGTGAGCAACCCGGCCACTGAATTCTGTACCAGCTGAAGTTTCTGAACTGTCTTCAGAGGTAGCCGCTTGTATATGCAGCAATCTAACCTAGAGGTTACCAGAGCATAGACAACAGGAATTAGGTTATCCCTGTTCATATAGGGGTGCAGCTGGGCCACCACCAAGACTGGTGGAAGGGACTCTGTGCCACTGAGGCCACCTGAGTCTCATGTGACAGCAATGGGTCCAGAAGTACCCCCAAGCTACGTACCTGCTTCTTCAGAGGGAGTTTAACCCCATCATGAGTAGGCTACCACCCACCCATCTGTTCTCATTCTAATCTGGATTGAGCTGCAGTTGAGCTTCAGTTTGATGACTCTCTTAATAGAAAGTTAACAGCAGGAAGTTATGGGACTAACTGGACATTAAGCAGGATGAGCTCTCCAAAACTTCTGCAGGCACAGTGATGAAAACAGGATGCTTCCAGTGCCATCATGAGCACAATACCATCATGCTCCAATACCACCATGAACACAAATCAGAATGAATGTGCAGTAAAAAGGCTATCTGGAGGCAGTCCTCAAAATCAGCTGGTTAAGGCAACCGCTTCACTCTGCCAATGGTAGGCCAAGCCTGGAATCTGAAAATGTTCTTCTTAATCATCCCTATTACTGTACTCTTAGTGTTCAAGAAACTGTTCAGAATAACATAGGCAAATATGTCTTTGCCCTATTAAACTTACAGTCTGTTTCAACAGTGCAGAGACAGAAGCAAGAGTCCAGGGGAGATGAGATGGAAGAGGACAACTTTCAGAGATTAGACACACTGAAAGTTGTTGAGCTTTTTAAAGAAAATGACCAGAAGTTGTTGAGCGATTTTTCGATTGACTTGCCTAAGATCCAGAACAAAGCACCATCTTTTGTAAATTCCCCCCAGATGTCAATTCCGCCTTTGAAATCCCGGCAATGTCCAGGAAAATCTGGATGTATGGCAGCCCTAGATTAAACATCTGGTTCTCAGAAGTGGTTCTTTTTTCAACTGTGGGAGGTTTGCTGGACAGTTAGGAAACTTCACATTATAGGTTTCACAAAAAATTCTTTATTTAAAATAAAAACAAACCGATTAAAAGGCAAATACAAAACAAAGGCACAATAATCTAAGCAGGCCCATATCATACTTGAACGACACATCTTCCTTAACACACATGCACAACTATGTTTATGGTAGAACACACAAGAAGGTCTATCTGAAATTAAAAAAAATACCTGACTGCTCCAAGATTACTGGCCGAAAGAAAAATGTTGTGGTTGGGCGGGTTGCACCTCTAACCTCCAACCCTTCAACAACAAATGGCCAACTTCTAAGTTAGAGCTTTGACACACTCCCCTTATGCATCTTTCCTAAAGATTTATTTCCTCTGAGGGACTTCATAAAAGACAAAATATTTCTCCTTTCTTTTTGTTTAGTGTTGTTTTATCAAATTTCCTGGCATTTCCTAGATATAATGGAAACCTCCTCCTAGGCTTGCAGTTGCTTTCTTCTCTTGTAGCCTCTTCCTGCAAAACATTCCTTTACCCCATGGGATGGTCAGATACATGAACTCAGAGTCTGCATTTTGCTTTGCAGGTTCCCACATGAGCTTTTCGATACAACAAGGATGCATAGAGGGCACTTCTAGCTGACTAGTTTTCTGAGCATCCATCTTGATTTGTTTACAGGTTAGACTAGGGCTGTGTCCACATTGCCAGCTTAAAATCCAGCTAAGTCATTATTTTTCTCAACTTGGATCGAAGTCGCTTTGGGCAAAAACATAGCAAGATGCTATATTTCATCTGAAATAACAGGATAGATATACATGGTAGATATAGATTGTGGTTAACATCATGTGTACACCACTTCCCAAACCAGTGGTGGGAGTTGAAAATAGTAAGTCTGGAAGTGCCCTGACAGTTATATTTTGTATTCATTTTTTAAAAAGAAATCGCCTGTCTCAATTGTATTTTACAAATCCCCCTAAGGCAAACGGGGTAATCTTTGGTCAGTGACTTTCTCTACCTAATCTACCACACAGCGTTGTTGTGGCAATAAAATGGAGAAAAGGAGAGCTACATACTCCACCTTGACCTTCTTGGAGGAAAGGTGATATATAAAGTGTAGCAAGGCTGCAATCCTATAGACATTTACCTGGAAGGAAGTTCCATTGGAATCAAGCCAAGCCTTATGAGGAACGATTGAAGGCGCTAGGTATGTTTAGCCTGGAAAAGAGGAGACTGAGAGGAGATAAGATAGCCATCTTCAAATATATAAAGGTCTGTCACATGGAAGATGCAGCAAGCTTGTTTTCTTCTGTTCTGGAAGGTAGGACTCAAACCAATGGCTTCAAGTTACAAGAAAGGAGATTCCAACTAAACATAATGAAAAAACTTTCTGGCAGTAAGAGCTGTTTGACAGTGGAACAGTCTCCCTTGGGAGGTTGTGGACTCTCCTTCCTTGGAGGTTTTTAAGCAGAAGTTGGATGGTAATCTGTCTTGGATGCTCTAGTTTAGATTCCTGCATTGTAGAGGGCTGGAGTAGTTGACCCTTGAGGTCCCTTCCAACTCTAAGAGTCTGTGATTCTATGAGCTAAATAAAGCATTCAGGTTTTCTTACTATTTAGAATCTTACCATTCTGTTGTTAAATCAAGATGACTTCTATCAATCAGCAAAGTACTGCTGCACAATAAACCCCTTCATTAAAAATATGACGTAGCAAACAAAAAACCCCGCAAAGAAATATAACCTTCAATCCCTGCAACAACAGTGATGTCAAATAATTTGGTGCAATTGAGAGATTGTTCTCAGTGGCCCTGAATCAGTGCTCCCCACCAACAGCTCCCCCCTCCCTGAGATGAAAGAGCATGCCACCAATTATATGATATACAGTGATATCCATGGCTGATGGATAAGGTTGGGAAATGGAAGCCTAATTCAGCACACATATCGTCCCAAGCTGGATCAAGACAAAAGAAGCATCATTAGCTGTGGTGTTGACACACTGATTGCTTCTGCCCGATTGTCTCTGGCCAAACATATTGGTTTAAGGAACGCCAACTGAAAAAATTGCAATATATATTTGTCCAAGAGTAATGGGGGAACTGTGGGTGTATGTACCTTCAACTCTATGGATTTTTGTTTTTTTAAAAAAATGAGTCTGTGCCATTACTTCCATGCTGCTCAAATATTGTTTATGAATGCCAAGGCAATACTTTACAGGAGGAACATAGTACAGCTTGCTTAGCACTACATAGTGCAAGATGAAAAGGAAAAGATTGTTTTTCAGGAGTTTCATTTCTCAATTGCCAGTTGCTAATTCTTGAAGTTCCTTGCTGCTCTGAATGGATTTCAAAACAAATCAACAGACACATGAGAGACCCGGATTATTTTTGGCTAGTGTTGAATAAATGAATAGCCCCAAATGTTTCTGACATTGTGCCAAGTATCTATGTGCATGGAGCTTAAGAGCAGCGTTTTTCAAGAAACCTTGAAGTCTGGCTGAGATTTATGGTTCTGATACTGTCATCCATTACTGTATTCAAAGGAGCTGCCTGCATAAAGGTTGGTAGAGGGCAGTCAAACCCTTTGCACCGCTCAAAATTATATCATTAGGTGTCTGCCTATGGGCTGACTTGTTCTCAAGCCCTTAAAGCTAAACACAGCTGAGATCTAAATCCCATGACAAATGAAGGAAATGTGCAAGGATCATGAATAACACATGGCAAATGGAATTTCTAAACATCACTCTGCCATGCAGTGTAGTACACCTGATAAATGACTGTCTCTGTAATAATGCTGTTGAAAAAACACTGGAGGCAGGGCTCATGTACGACAGGAAAACCCTTAACATAAAAGTGTAATATGCATTTTAAAGCTGGCAATGATGTTCCACTGCCCTACTTCCCTCAGTCATGTAAGGATGGCATTCTTGAATATGTACATTCTCATAAGGCTGGGAAAGTTTTGGGGAAAGTATACATAATACTAATAATAAAAAGGTCACCCAAATCAAATGCTGCATCAAAGGCAATCAAATTTTCTAGCTGAAAAAACTGCAAAATATAAGTTTATTTTGCACAGTTTAATTTGTTGTACTACCCACAGAATTTTGTAAGGCCCTCTCCTGGATCCCTGGTTTACTTGATGTCTTCTCAGAGGTTCAGAGACATCCAATAATAATAAAACGATGAGCCAAGAAAGCAAAATAAGGCACTCCAAAAACTACTACCGGTGCCACGTAATACACATTCCACATTTCTCCCTAGTTGCAAAGGGCGGTTTGCCAAGCTCTTCGCCTT